ACAAGGAAAATTCGCAGGCTAATGTTGAAATATGTATTTATTCGTAAAATTAATTTAATTGTATCTATGATATAGTACATAACATTTTTTTATTAATATATTTTTTTCTTCTTTTCTTTCTAATAATATGATTTAAATTTAAATTCATTGTAATAAAAAAATTAAAGTTTAACAACTTTTTAAATACAGATTTGAGTTTATCGGCAACTAAGCACAAGTTTCGCGTACAGTGCTACAGATGGCAGTAGACTTACATTTAAGAAACTTTGATCTAGAATCTCGCAGAAAGTATTCGCACAGTTTTATTTGCTCAGAGCTCAGCAAGTACACGAACCCAAATTCGATACATTGCACACATCTTGCGATACATTTTTATGATTAAAAACATAAACTTAAAACATGTCGTATACATATTTGAGATAGATAAAGTAAAAAAGCAAAACCTAAAGCTGACTTTTATTTACACTCCTTAAAGATAAAATTAATGCATCGTAAAGTTCCTTTAATCTCTAAAATTTTAAAGGTTATTACGTGTAGTTTAGGAAGATTGTTCACAAGATTGTTAAAGTCTTCCTTTTCCCTCTTCGACTTTTGTAGGAAACGACGCGATAACGCTTATCAAACTGAAGAGGATTAATAATGCGAAACCGAGCGTCTTTCCTTTCCTTCGGATGAGTCAAAAAGACGAATCAGTAGGCTAAATAGAGCTGCCAGGATAAGGCAAGAGTCAGACAGCTAAACCCCGGGATGCCGGAAAGGGGCATGGCGCGGGGGCAAGAAGGACCGTAGTCAGGAGGCAAGTGGGAAACCGGACGGGGGGTGGGTGGCTCCCAAGAGACGCGTTCGTAGCAAACGCCCACGAACGGTGACAGTCGGCGAAGATTTACGACGCTATAAAATATCATTTGTATTTGATGTCAGAGCGAGGGCTTGATTAATGCACTGCCGGGCGCACAATGAATAACTGACGTGTTGTTATAGTAACATCAATCTGAAAGAAGCACGGGGTGAGAGACCCGGGTACCCCGTTGATAAATTGTGTAGATTGGAGTCGCCGTTGCTGAGATACGATCAGCGAGCCTTCTACGATTCAATCATTAATGCCGTTTCTCTCCCCCTCCCCTCCCCTCCCCCCCCACGCGACCGGAATCATCCATAACTCCCAGCGTGTTGCCGTTCGCGAACTATCGGTACATCGATAATTTTTCGTTTT